GCAAGATCGCCACTACTGTTGATTTGTTGTCATGACCTTCAGTGTCTCCAACCATCCAGTTACGGAGCCATTTGGACCCTAACCCAGAAGAAGAGAGACAACTAACCTACCTAATCGTTCTGTACCTTTCGTCATGTTTCGCCTCAGAACGAGGCTCGGTGACACCCAGTATTGCAGCACATACCAAACGTGCTAATCTGTCAAGTGCGCTTCGTGCAGCCTCCATACATTTGAACAAGAAAACCAGTTCGTCAGCGTACTCCAAATTGCATAGCTTTTCTCTAGCTGTCCATTCCATACCTACATTCTGAAGACCACAAAGTGCCTTCTCCAGTATTTCGTATACAACGAAATTGAACAACAACGGCAAAATAGGACATCCTTGACGAAGATCGATGCTAATTTCGAACGACCTACTTAGCTCGTCGTAGACTATTACGCTGTCATAAGGATGCGAGTGGAGTGACCCCAGTTTATTTGCATACTTCTGTGGCATTCCTTTACGAATGAGCGAACCCATAAGGGATTCGCGGTTAACTGATTTGAAGGCTAATTTTGGGTCGAGGAACACGACAACCGTTGGTTGATGGTGTGTGTGGTGCAGTTCAAAGAATTGACTCCGCGTGAATGATCAGCGATTCCCTCAAGGATGATGGAGTGCACTGTTGCCACCAGATGCTACGCATTAAATCAGTAATAGAATTTATGAAGTATTCCGCCAAATGTTCAAACCGTTTATCTTTAATGTGAACAGCATGTCTACTTTTGTTGCAAAATGTTTCACTAACTGAGGTTCGCCGACCTCACGTGTTGTGTATCACTTGGAACAGTCTTCGACTATTACCCGAAGCAGTTGCTGCTTACACTTCACTTGATATTGTTCCTCACCATGTTCCACGGTCTTTTTGAGGCTCTTCGTGAGCTGACGTTGCAGTCGCCACCCACCCCTCCTTTGATTCCGGGCGGTCGGGATTTGACGCTTTTTCTCCGTTAGTGCTACTGATTCACCAGATATTACATACTAGGACAGGCCTGAAGCTCAGATCCACAAACAACCCTCGCTGCTGTGTGCATTGCTCGTCTAATCTGATTCCATTATTCAGATAAACTACCACGCCTCAGCGCGTTTAGCTCTTGCCCCATTTCTGATTCAAAGTGAACATGAACGGCTGAGATAGATAAGCGATGATCTGCCAACCGAATTTAGTGTTTTTCTGCAACCGGTAAGTCGGAGTGAACCGCATCAAGACTAATAAATAATTAGATTCAACGCGTGGTTTAATAGGTTGCAATTTTGCACTGAACCACGCCAACGGTAGCTCACTGTTATGAGGTTAAGTTGAGTTAGTGTGCCAGTTGAATTGGAGCGTCACATTGCCGTCCGCCGAGTTATCTCGGAAGTTGGTACTGGATATGAACAGATGGTGATCTGCACAGAACTGAAAAAGTTAATCGCCGTTATCCGTTTCTTGGCAATGTAAAGCACGACAGTCTAGGCAAGATTCCGATGCGCTCAGTTTTCCAACTTGAGCGCTGAAGTCACCCGCAAACACGATTACATCGGAGCTTCGGCTCGACCGAATGAGTTCGGTGAGTTTATTTTAGAACTAATCTTTTTGTGCCTTAGAACTGCAGTTGGTTGGTGCATATGCTAAAGTGATAAACAAGCATCTTTTGGTGCTGCTTTCCCTTTGGACGCTGATAGACCCTTGGATCCACATCGTACATGAGCGACTATTTACGAGAATCCATTCGATTAGTGAAGTTTTGGTTGTATCATTGAGTACAATGCTTACACCACGCTGGCCTACTGAATAGACTTCATCACTGGATGTGCGGAGGAAGTATCTGGAAGACAAATCCGCTACAATAATATGACTAATAGTACCAGTATCCTGGATTCGCGTCTCCGATACACAGTTCATTGTACATGCCAGACATGTTTATCGACCTACCTGCATCAGAGTCCTAACGTTGAAGACCCCAAATTCAGTGATTGACGAAGCTTTAGAATCTGCAATCTGCTTTGTGGCGAACTATTTACAGTGCTACCAGGGAACAAACTCTGGCGAGTGAACGACCTTCGCTGACTTTCACGTGATTTTTTAAAGATATAGCAAACAATCTGAAATATGTCTGAAAACTACCCATGGCTCCTGAAGCAGTAACTTGTTCCCAATCGGAATGGCCATTGCGTTTGTGATTAAAGTTATCAGCGTAGCATTAGTCGAACGGTATGGAACGTGAGCGTTCGGAACCCGCCAGCTTCCATACACTGGAATTAGATGATTGGTCGTCCTCAGTCGACTGAAGCATTTCTTCCTGAATACTGATTGTGCATTATTTGTATGTTAAACGAACAGAAGTAAAAATATTCTTATCTTTTGAGCACTAATGAGCTTTCGTAGCTTGTTTGCTGGTTTGTTTTTTCACGATTTGAGGTACTTCCGTCGACAATCACAAACCCCAATATCACACATGGCGATTAATGATGCAGCCTCTTCGTCAACCGAATTGCAAAGTATCTAGAAAACAATCGCAGTACACTCAGGTGGTTTCTACTACTGGGATTTCAAACTCTCCAATGCGCCGTACACATCAATCGCTAATGATTACCTTGTGCGCACATGACAAGCCAGTTGGTCCCGTTTGAGTCCCCAGATTGAAGACTCCAGATTCAGTAGTTCGTGAGATACCATAACCTGCTATTTATAAGATAGTTTATCTCCATCAACATTACTTGACAAGCAGCCTGGGTGAGTGGCAAACAGGTTATCCAAAGGAATGTTATTGTCCGGAAGGAGGATAAAGAAGGGATATAAGATGAGAATTAAACAAAGTTTGGGATATCCGATAGGTGTTTTATTCAGCACTACTCACTGACTTCCATGCAATGGGTACAGCGGCGCCGATTACCGTGCGCGACGATCAGTGCATTATGGAATTTATTACTTTGAGTATGCATTTAAACGTGATGGGAATATTCTTGTAGCGAGTCAGAACGATAAGCAGGAGAACCATTTGGGTTCCTAATTGACCTTTACTTCTGACAACAACTGTACGGTAATCTGTGAGGTGAAATAGAGGCTTATTTACTTGGATTGATCACTCCCCCATCCCCGTCAATTTACTGACTAAGAGGCCGACTGGAATCGAAACCCAACCTCGAGTACCACGAGAGTGTACTATCTGGTCACCGAAATTATATCTTCCAGGCTTGGATCGTTCTCAGACCAAATTGAAAACAACCTACGTGTCTCTTTGGTAAGGAAATGCATACGTCACGCCACGTCAAACCGCAGTCTCTTCGTGACAGACCGATTAGTGGAATGCCGGAATATCATACTTGAGAGCTATTGCCTATGAAAAACATGAAACCAAAGTTCCAAGACTAGAGGTAACAAGCCACGTGGTTTCAGGTACTAAACATAGTAACAGCAAAGTCTCCCATCATTAAACGGTGATGGAGGCATGGTTTCGGCCTAATGCATGTCAGGAAGCAAAAAAGGTCTAACTACTGCCATGCTTCGAACTCCAGGATCATGTGACTGACAAGAAAACCTTAAACAAGGATTTAGACAGTTCACTTTTTACTGAAACGTGCGTTGGTGCTTCACCACTAATGGAAAATGATTATAGATATCGCTCGTTTATACAGGTGCAATAACGGGTTGGTGAAGCACGTGCTTACCTTGAGGATTTGGGCACTTAGGTCTCTGGATATGGCCTCAATTAACCGCAAGGCGCGTTGCAGAGGATACTTCGTATTCCTGATTTTTCGAAGGTGCGTAAAGATAGACTGTACGGCAAGACGGATTTTATCCAGTTCAGTTGCCGATAACAGATCGTTTAAGGGAAAGTCTTTCATGAGAGGATTGTAATCGTTTACCGTAGCAAGTGCCTGCTGCAAACCTGGATCAAGTAAGAAAGCGAATAATGGTCGAATTACCCGTGTCTGTATCAAAGCTGACTAAGGCATGAAATCGTTTTGCGTGTTTAAGGATATCCAGAGTAAGAGTAACCTCCAGAGATTCGCGTTTTTCTTGAATTCGAGCCAAACTTCTCTCGAGGTTAAGCCAAAAAGTTATTTCTTGAAGAGCGGTTCCGGAAGCAGGATCTCTATCAAGTTTTGTAACCTAAAAGGTGAATCGTGAGGGAAAGACGAATACCTTCTGGATTTCTTTGATCCACCTATTAACGCCGGCTTGTAGAGAATTGAGAAAATGTGCATCCTCTAGCTTATCCTCGAAATCCGACGTCTTCGCCTTTTTCCCTTCTTCAGCTCTTTGGCGTATCATTTGTGCGACGACTGGGTGCACAGAAAGTGTGATTTCGGGAATGTCGATGTTCTGCTGAAGGTGCAGGAGACCCATCTCCAACTCTGTCATCGTCTTCTCAACACTAGGTGCCATCTTGTCGCCATCCCTATAGGACATGAACCATTAAAAATTTATCAAACCTGTCAGCTCTGCCAGACGCCCGTATGTATGACTTATAAAACGGACTTATCGCATCACTAATCATTGAATGCAACGTTTCATATGGAGACCCGTCGGTAAAATTCAAAAATCTGAGTTGTGTGCTGAAGCTTTTATCCGCCTCTACAGCCGGACCACGTTTTATAAAAACGACACTGCTAAATGGAAACACAAATCAAAAGCGAACCAACCTTAGGACTTTAGGGCTGGTAAATTTCACGTCGATTAATACTGAATACGAAATACTAACTTCTCCACCTTCCTCTTCCTCGTCTGAGAAAAAATTAAAAAGCACGTTCATAACAAACCTTTGTTAGAAAGCTTTTGGACAATCAATGAGTGTATTTGTGGATCAGTTATATACTTTTTAATGGCTTCCCGTGTAGATGGGTCATCTAGAGCCTTTTTCAGTGCAGTAACACCTTCTGGAGACTCTTCTAAGAAGCACGTGACGGTTTTTAACAAGTATTCAGAGAAATCCGTCGGATCCGCGAAANACGAGCGAAGCGCAAAATTCAATTGTGGCTCCGATTAACTCGATCGCCTCAAGGTCAGTCAGTCAGTCAGTCAGTCAGTTTGCACAGGACAGGAGATGGCCACGGCCAATCGAGCGTCCAGATTTCCTCCGGTAGTAAGCCCCGTTCCGGCCTCTACCACTGCGAGTGTTCTATATTGCAGTTCTACACGTCTTCTTCACGTCTCAGTTGTCTCCGTCTCTGTAAGGGAAGAGGGTAAAGAAAAAGTATCTTCTCCCCTTGTTCAGGCGAGAGACCTCACGTTCGGAAGCGTTCCCCGGATGGGGGTGGTTAGTAAACGAAAAACCCACCCCTGTTTCCAGGTCATAACCTATGCGTCTATTTCGGGAAATAAAGTTAGCCAGCGCTTATCGAGCTCCTTCTTGAAGGTATATACGCTCCCTAGCTCTACCAGCTCCGGCGGCAGCTTATTCCACACGTTGACTACCCTGTTGCTGAAAAAGTTCGAACGCACCGCTAGTCTCGTGCGCAATTTCTTCAGCTTGTACATGTGCCCCCTAGTATTGCTTTGCATTCTCTCGAAGAACACCTCTTGCTCCATCCCTGATAGTCCATTCATAATTTTGAATGTCTCGATCAAGTCACCTCGGAGTCTTCTTCTTTCTAAGGAGAATAGCCCAAGATCCTGTAATCTCTGTCTATACGTTTTCCCCCGTTGTCCTTCGATCATCCTCGTGGCTAATCTTTGGACCCTTTCGAGACAATCCGCATCCTTTTTGAAGAAGGGAGCCCAGGCTTGTATACAGTACTCTAAATGCGGTCGCACAACGGCTTTATACAAAGGTACGAATACCTCCGGTTGCCTACATGATAGTGCCGACCTCAATCTGAATAGCTCACTGCGGGCACGATGCGCCGCTGCGGCACACTGTTCCGCCCATTTATAGTCTGCAGTCACTATGATTCCTAAATCCCTAGCTTTCTGGGTCGTTCCTAGAAAGCTAGGGATTTAGGAATCATAGTAACGGACAAGTCTTGGACTTTTGAAATTTTAAAATTTCAAATTTCAGGACATGAAAAGGCCTTCGCCAGTGATGCGCTCCGGTGATGGCGGGTTGTCTCCGTGGACCGACTCGCCTGAGAGTGTAATATTTCTTTCCACTTACCACAAAGGGAGTAATATCTGGAAGGTGAAATGAAGTCTTGAAGTCTTGAAGCGATTCACGGGTTCGAGGCTGTTGCCCAAATGTCCCGGGTCCTTGAAAGGTATCTGCGTTTTCTTTTGGTCTGAATTACTTCCAGAACAGCGAGTACTGAAAAGGGATTAGTAGGGTTCCCCGCTCGAGGTGAAAAATAAAATGACGAATTGCGAACTCTTATATAACTGACAATGTTTTTTTCCTTTATTGGAGAGAGTAGATAAACCTAAGTGGCGGTCAAGACGAAGTTTAAAGACCGCCTTGCTAGGGGCGCTGACTATCTCTTCTGGAAGGACATTCCATAAAGATATCACCCTGAAGGTAAAAAATGAGGTACGTAGAGTGGTTCTCGGACGGGGTTTGAAGACGTTTTGCTATGACCTCGGGTGGGTTGAGAGTCAGCAATGAAAAAAAAGGTTTCGACAGTGCCCGTGTCGAAGAGATGGTAAAGGAGAAATAGATCTCCTCGGATGCGTCTGATTTCTAGCGGATAAAGGCCCAGTTGTTGG